GTTTTTAAATTTCGCAATGTCGATGTCTGTTTATTGTCGACTCGTGAGTTTGAATGTCACTTTGGTATCTTTCGCCTCTCTTTTTTCGGTAAGAATACTGTTATTTTTTATAATTTCTTATAGTTGTTAATGTCACTGTGACACATGGTTACATTCATTGTGTGTGAACATAATTACATATGGTTCATATGAACGCACGTAATAAGTTATCTGGTTAACGACGAAATGTTGCTATTTTGCAGAGTTGCCAAACATATTTGTTGTCCAAAATTGCTAAAATGACATACAGACATATGAATGACGTTAACATTAACTAGTACTACACATAGCACTTATATGACATATTCTAAGGACACATGTTTATTTTTGAACATAACACGTCTCACTTTAGATGTCTTTTGGATATTTCTGTAGTTGGGTTGCTGATCTAATATAAAGAAAAAAACAGCGCATTTCGTGCCGTCCAGTCTTGTGTTTTGGTTGATGTATACCTTCCATCTCCTTTTATTTATATTTTGTGTTTTATGTGTCAAAAATTTGTTACCCATTCACTTTACATTGAAAATATTTCGCATTTTATAGCTGATGTTTATCATATAAGAAATCTGTTTCACGGCACCCCCCTTTTCTGAAAAAAAAACCCCAAAACAATACAAAAGGAAAACGTAAAACAAAAACACAAAAAATTGTTTTCGATACATAATACGTAACAAAACAAGCTACTTCTTTCAGAGGTTAGCATACGATATATAGGGTTTGAAACCCTTATATAGTACACAATTTGACAAATTTCCTCAGAGAAGGTATTGATAAAAATCTGGATCGTTATATACGTATTATATACGTTTGTAGGGTTTTTGCCATTTTTCGATTATTTTGAAGTCGTGATCTGCACAGATTAAAATTAAATAGTCCCAAAAAATTTTAAACAACGAATCAATCATAGAATGAATCTCTAGCATGGCTTTTTCCGGATAACAAACACAAATTTTGCAAAACTTTGAAATATTCCCGTATTATAATTATACCGTTTTCATGAAATATTTTTTACATATAAGTTTGCATTGAAGAATTTGTTATCTAACCGCAGTCTACTTAATACAGTCTAGATCTGTTGGGAACTTAGCCCTCGACGGGACTGAGTGCAACCCGTACGCACGTTGAGGCGACGGGATTAAATCTTAGCTACAACTTGTCCTATATCTCTCCTCGTAATGTTGGAAGATAAAAGGGGGATACTAGAGATATTTGTCCGTGGCCTACTGTTCCATTGACGTATAACCCGCGATTTTCATTCTATTTCACACTTAATTTTCCGTGTATATTGCTGGCTGAAGATTACATGTCTCCCTCAAGATGTCTTTTTGTAATTTCTGTAGTTTGGTTGCTGTCGCATTGACGTATACCTCACACCTCCTTTTATTCATGCAGCGCTTACTTTTCCGTGATTACTGGTGGCTGAAATTGTTTTTATAAATCTGATAGGATATAAGCACTGCCAGTTTTTCTTTGTATCAAAAATAATTGATTGATTTGATTTGATTGTTTTCTGCTTAACGTCCAGTGGCAAATATTCCATGCATATTAAAGCCTTTGTGTCAGCAAATCAAATCGTAAAGATATTGCATATGTGTCTAGTCTACTTAAGCATTTGCATTTTTTGTATTTTCTGAGTGAAGAAAGAAAGAATTCTACAAAAACGCAGACACACACTTGCTTCAAATGTGTTTTCTGGAATAAAACCACTCTGCAATTTTAAGCATGTATAGCTATTTTGTCTTAAGTTCAAATAAAGTGGCAGTCATTTCATAGCAAAACTATACCTTATCCTGACTTGAATGTGCTGATGAAAAACTCAACATATCTTTAATTGCATAATAGAGTGCACTGGTTCCCGAAAGTTGGGTAGTATAAAATCAGGTACTTCTGATCTGAGCAACTGTGCAAATATGGCCCCTATCATAATTTCATATATTCTTTTTATTACTCACGAGAAACTTTCGTAAATGGTTCTACAGTGATCCCAAAACGTGGAGCCTTTCGTTTGATACCAATTAGTTATCCATTTTCTTTTACTTTTGGACAAAGTTACAGCTATGCGTAGGAACTATTTTGTTTAACATATGTACTACTTTCTTGTATGTTCTTTGTGACCGGGACCGAATTATATACCTTCTGGGTGTCAAGCGAAAAATAAAGGAATTAACGCACACACAGTTTTTGGAAAATTAGCGAAGCTCTACGTAAGTCTTACTAATAATTGTCCGAAGACATATAGTAAAAAGCAAAAATTAAACGAAGAGGAAAATGACCAAACAAAAAAAACACTCTCCTTCTTTCGTGATTATATGTTTTTTATATCAACAATAGTCAGACTCTTTTTCAAATGATTTTGCGACTCTAGAAAAGCCGTTTTCAATATGCAATTGTCTCTGTTCTGTAATATTCTGTCCGGGTGTAATCATTTTCACTGCTTCTTCGGCAGTGTTAACATTTGATTCTTCACTGTAGTGTATATCGATTCTTCAGATCCACTCCGTGTTTTATTTTCTCATAAGACGATTGGCTAAATTGACAATCTCTCTGCACGGTCAACTAAGTGGAGTGTTTCTCCACAGTTCCGTTACATCTGGTACCATACTGACGTCAATTTCCACTTACGACTTTTTTTCAATCACGGAATGGTTTATATGCCAGTGTGACTCTGACTTTGACTGAAAACAGACTTTAGCAGTTTTAATCGTTTACGATGAAATTACGCTGTTTCTTCGTCTGTTGCCGACATTATACTGTGTTATAAAATCTACATCTACTCAGATTGACGGCATAGCACAACACTCTGTAACTCGCTTATTTTACGAAGGCCTGCGCTGAAGAACGTCCAACGCTAAAATTCAAATTTGTTTGCTAATATACTTTTATTTACTATAATGCCGTAATAATTTATAAAAAACTCTACTCCTTGCACGTGAAAAGTAGTGTTTTTTTTAACTGAGAATCTAAAAAAGTTTGAAAAAAAAGCACATTTCATACCGTTCAGTGTTGTGTTGTTGGCTAGCTGTTTTATTGATGTATACCTTGCATCTCCTTTTATTCATATTTTTGTTTTATGTGTCAAAAAGCTGTTACCTATTCACTTGACATTGAAAATATTTCGCATTTTATAGCTGATGTTTATCATTAAAGAAATCTGTTTCACGGCACCCCCCTTTTCTGAAAAAAAACCCCAAAACAATACAAAAGGCAAACGTAAAACAAAAACTCAAAAAATTGTTTACCGCACATAATACGTAACAAAACAAGCTACTTCTTCCAGAGGTTAGCATACGATATATAGGGTTTGAAACCCTTATATAGTACACAATTTGACAAATTTCCTCAGAGAAGGTATTGATAAAAATCTGGATCGTTATATACGTATTATATACGTTTGTAGGGTTTTTGCCATTTTTCGATTATTTTGAAGTCGTGATCTGCACAGATTAAAATTAAATAGTCCCAAAAAATTTTAAACAACGAATCAATCATAGAATGAATCTCTAGCATGGCTTTTTCCGGATAACAAACACAAATTTTGCAAAACTTTGAAATATTCCCGTATTATAATTATACCGTTTTCATGAAATATTTTTTACATATAAGTTTGCATTGAAGAATTTGTTATCTAACCTCAGTCTACTTAATACAGTCTAGATCTGTTGGGAACTTAGCCCTCGACGGGACTGAGTGCAACCCGTACGCACGTTGAGGCGACGAGATTAAATCTTAGCTACAACTTGTCCTATATCTTAAGTAAATCTCACGAGATGTGACGAGAACCCTCATTCTGGTCGCAGTTACCGGCCTAGCTGGACGTGTTCTATTTTCTCTCATAGAAGCCAGTGTTTTCTACTTTGTAGTGTTGCAGTGGCAACTCTAAGTTAAGGTTGGTAATTTATTTTTTTTTTTTTTTTATTTTGGTACAACAGTTAGGAGGTATAGCCGGAAACTGTTTGGGATAATGTTAATTTAACTTGTGGAGTTTGCTGTTTGAACGGTGTGTTTTTGTTGCTTTTAATTTATAGTTGGTCTGCCACGTGCGACTTTAAATGTTAAATATGGTATCTTTTACTATTTTGTGAACGGACTAGAATATTAAAAGGTTATTATTTACTGAATTCAGGTTATTTGGTACCTTATTCGAGTTGACCTTTTTTGGCGGTAAAATTAGTGCGTTGCTGCACAATGTGAGATTTGAAATTCATGTGGTTTTATCTTTGGAGAAGGTAGACGGACATTTTGAAAGATATATATTTAAAAAAAAAAAAAAAAAGGCTTGTTTGCTTGTTTTAATTTTTAATTTCTAACAGTGGGAAATATTAGCAATTTTTTAACGACCGTTGAGGTTGCAGCCCGTATGGTATTTGGGCGTATTGTGATTAGACGTATGTGTGTAAAGTGTTACACGTGTGTAGTGTGTTATTTTGTCGGCAGCATGGTCTGCCTACAATATTTGTCGATGATTGGGAAAATTGTAAGTTATAACACCTCATATATTTTAGTTGAGAGGCTATTTGACTCCGCACATAAGACTTTGTTTTACAGTTCTACTGTAGGTTCGTTTAGTTTTTTAAAAACAGGTGTATTTTCTTTGAAAATTATATTTTAATGCTGATTTATTTATGTTCGGTAATTTTCTATTTTAGCATTTAATTATGGCTGATCCACCACAGACGTCAGTGCAGGTGTTAAAGCACAAACATTCCATGTTGGGGGAGAGTTTGCTACCAGTTATTGCCAAATTGAAGGCCTGGGACCCTGATGCTAATTCTGGGGAGCTGTGTAGACTCAAGAAGGGGCACCCATTGGAGGAGTATAGCCTGGTGCAGCTACGCACAGAGTTTGAGAGATTGGCGGGGGAGTCGGTGAAGGATATATTTGCCATTGTGGGAATTGATGAAAATTTGAAATCAGTTAGACAGTTGGTGCACCTCACCATCCTTCAGGCCAACTTGGTTGGCATGCCGAAGGGCCAGGCATTGCAAAACGATTTGCAGGTGGGTCCTGATAATCAACAAGCACCCAGAACTACAGGTACTTTCATTTGTCAGGTGGTGTTCATGTAAATACCACAGTTTTTCTTCCAATTTGGTCATTTAACCTTTTATTTTATTTTTAAACATTACTTTAGTTTTTGAACGTGCATGTTTTTTGTAAATTGAGGATGTACCCGTCAAGTTTTTTAAATATTTCAGTTTTCAAGGGTCAGTGTTAAATGATATTATTTATTTTGCAATTGACAGTTTTGCATATATCATGTATATATTCTAGTATTTTTCTTTGTGCAGGTCTTAATTGAAGAGTAAACATTGTGACTTGAATATATTTTATCTCAAATGTACTTTTTATTACAAGAACATGTAATTGTTGTATTGCGATTTTTGGATATCGGATCAAGCTATAATATTGGTATTTTGAATTTGTCTCCTTTGGTGTTTTGCTTTTTTATGTGTAAAAAAGTCCACATTTGAGGTACTTTAACCTTCGTGTACTTGTATGTTATACTTGTATGTTATATTTTTATTTTAGTGACACAGAGTTCTGGTGCTTCTGGCATGTCTGGGGCTAATGTTGATATATCCAGTAGAAGTAAAGATACTCAGAATCTACAGGTAACTTTAAGTAGTTTAAAGCAGGAAGTAGATGCTCTTAAGACAAAGAGATTAGATATGCAAGTGGACGAGGCTTTGGCAAATATAAGAACTTTAGCCAGTCGTCCAAAATTAACTGCACCACATGTTCTTTTGGCCGCAATTGAGACTTTAGTGGATATTGCACATACGACAAATCACAAAGAAGCAGCTATGTTTTCTAAGGCTTTCTCAACCTGTAAGAAATATGAAGATAATGAAGAGTTTTGCAGTTTAGTTTTAAAACTTTTTGGGTCGCAGGAGGATAAAAGAATTGCTTCTTTGGTTGCTGATTGGGCAAAATCTAGAAAGTATGAAAGTGGTGATAAAGAAAAGGAAAATACAAGGGGCAAGGTGCAGAATGATAACCCGGTAAATCCATATCCGATGCCAAGCTATCCTGGTTTTTGAATTATGCATCCTTATGGAAATTTTGGCATGCAGATGCCATGCCCGCCGGCATTTCATATGCCACCTATAGCTGCTTCTCAGGATTTTTCTCCTAGGCAGCAATTTTTTCGTGGTGGCAGGGGTAGGAGACAGAAAAGTGTAGGCGCTTGTTTTTATTGCAAAGAGCCGGGACATTTTGTATCTAACTGTCCCAAGATAAAAAAAAGAGTGACTGAACAATCTGGAAAAAGTATTAACTGTTCATTTGTTGATTTAGCATGTGTAGACTTTGTTTTGTTTACTTTATTATGGTTTTTTAAACATACTTGAGGTTGTCACATAGAAGTGAAACAACAATTTTTTTATATACCTGTTTTTCTTGAAGACTTGTGTGTATATACATGTACTGATGTGTAGAATTTTGTGGGTATTCAGGGGAGAAAACTATCGATTATTTTCTTACAAGTATTTTGAGTTATGACAAGTAGGAAATAACTATGCCGTTTCAATATTTCTAAATTAGGTTACTTATAATTATTTTAGAAATGATAATGTACATTTTTGATGCCTGACTTTCCTCCTAAAGAGTGCTAATCTCTTAGTGGAATTTTTTATTTCACGTGGGAGGGAGGCTGGGTATCTGTCTCTCTGATAGTTTTTTAAATTTTCTATTTTTCTAGGAGGTGTCTTTTCTAAAAGAAAACAAAAAGTTGAGGTTTGATCCTGATATTCCAGAATGGGAATTATCTGCTGGTTTTGACCCTGAAAAAGCTCTGGGTCGGGGTTTTTCAGAATTTTCGTGGGTTAATGCTATCGGAGAGATAACCCAGCCTTCCTCACACATTACATCTGCAGAAAAAGTGGCAAGAGGAGAAAGTTTTGATTTTGATCAACTGGTTTTTAGAGATCCAAATAACTTTTTAGCTGGTTGTTTAAGTAATAATTTAGCAGCATGGGAAGAAATTGATACCCCATCTGAGCAATTAGGTTGGATTAAAGATGGGGTAGACATTCACAGTATGTTTAGACATTTTGCTGGGAATTTCAAGGGGAAAAGTTATAACTCCAATATACCACCAACTTCTTATTTCCCAAATGCTTCAAATTGTAAGAATTTTGTAGAGTTTATAACTGAAACTTTAATGAGTAGAATAGCTAATGGGTCCATTTCTGTGGTAGGAAAGGTTGGGCAGTGCCAACCCCCTTATCTTGTGATGCCCATCACTATAGAGCCTTCCAAGCCAAGAATGTGTCATGATGAGCGGTTTTTAAATCTGTGGATTAAAGATCATCCGTTCACTCTTGATACTTTAAAGGATGTGCCTAGAGTTATTTCTGAGAATTCTTATTTATCTTCTTTAGATGACAAGTCTGGCTATGATCACATTTTACTACATCCTCACAGTAAGATGTATTTTGGTTTACAGTTTGGTGGTTGGTTTATGGTTTATAATAGTATTCCATTTGGGTTTAAAGCTAGTGCCTTTATATACCATACTACTGGCCTGGTAGCTATGAGCTATTGTAGATCTTTAGGTGTTCCTGGGTTGCTATACATTGATGATAGATTGGTACCAGAGTGGAAAGGGGACAGAACTGATAAGGCTGACCCTTATTATTTGGCCCTTAAAGGTTTATACATAGTCTGTCAAGTTTTAGTGAGACTTGGTTATTTCCTTAATTTGACCAAATGTGTTTTAACACCTACAAAGTGTTTAAAATTTTTAGGAATGTTGTGTGATTCCAGGAAAATGGCTTTCATTTTGCCCCAAGAGAAAAGATATCTTTTTCTGAACTAAGGGAAAAAAATTTGGCAAATGATGAAGTAGCCCTTAAAACTTTACAAAGGTTTGCTGGGAAGTGTATATCATTTGTACTTGCAATCCCAGGATCAAGACTGTATTCTAGGGAAGAAAATAGGGCAGTTGGAATCGCATTTAAAAACAGCCGGCCGATAAAGATTTATAAAGAATTAAGGGCGGAGATTTCCATGTGGCGTTTTCTCGACAATTGGACGGGTTGTGCTCCCTGGCGCGATGAGAAACATCTTCAGGTTGTTTTGGCGTCAGATGCAACTCCTTATAAATGGGGATCTTTTTTGGTTCACCAAGGAAAGACTAAAGAGTTTGGTGATTTCTGGATTCAGGGCCAGAATTCTGAGGAAGCTATACATGTTAAAGAGGCTTTTGCTTTACTTAATACATTGAAGTCTGTTCAATCTCAGTTAATGGATCATCGAGTCGATGCATTCTGTGACAATATGGCAGTAGTTAAGGCGTGGGAGAATCAAGGTGGTCGGGATCCCAGTCTGAATGCCGTATTGAAGGACATTTTTTATTTCACACATGAATTTAACATAAGTCTTCATGTGCATTTTATTGCTTCTGTTGATAATCCTACAGATAAAGAATCTAGAAGGATGTCTAAAGCTGATGCAAAATTGTCAGATGAATATTGGAGGTTTGTTGAAGACAAGTTTGGTCCCCACTCCATAGATTTAATGGCTCTTGATTCAAATGTTATGCTTGATTCTAATGGTCAGCCTCTTAAACACTTCACGCCATTTCCCTGTAAGAGTTCTTCTGGGGTTCCTACTCGCTTATTAGTCGGAAAATTGGGAGTAAAATTCATAATCCAGAGAGGGGGGCCGACTAATAGACGAGATCTAGCGACCAGAGGGAAAATCCAAGCTTGAGAAAAGTGGTCAGGAGTGAATTTCCTGGTCAAAACTACGTTTTTGATTGCCAAACCTACATAACCCAATAAATAAAAAGTTTTTGTTGAAAATAAATGACTTCAATACTGTCTTTGTGTTTTATTTGTTCTTTGGTAAACATTTTCTGCAAATTCGTGTTGAAATTCTACTGTTTCCGGTTTGTGTATTGATTTTCATGGTCACATGGTTTTCCTATAAACCCAAAAGAAGAGCCAAGAACCAAAAATGAAAAGGAGATAACAATGTACCAAATATGTGAAAGGATGTTTTCAGCGGAGTTATTGTGTCATTATTGTGATATCATGATATCAATTCAATGCTTATAAATCATATAATAATCAAAAAATAATTTTAAGATTCATTCCCAAAATCAAAATATTATTCATTATAGTGTCTCAGGTAAACAAAAATTACAAAATTGATTGACAAGCCAATATAATCCATTGATAACCCCAATTAAGAGACAAAGAGTTGTATTCACTAAAGGTGTGAAAACTATCAGTGATAGGTAAACAGATGACACTAATGAGTTGGAGTTAGTTATTTTAATATATTGATTAGCTTCACTTAATTTTTTTAATCCTTTAATCATCACAATATAATAAGAATTATGAAGTGTACATGCTCATTTAACACCGAGTTATGTATGCTGTGAAAAATATTTTCATCAAGTGTTGATTGACTTTAAATTTTTCAGGTTCATATTGGTTTATATTCGCTTTTCTCAAACAATAGGTTGTTAGTCATACCCTACAAAATCATTGATGCATTACGTAAACAACACATGGCTAATCTAACATTTGAACAGTGAACAAAACAAGAGAAATGAATACATCTTTATTATTAACAGCAATATAAATTATCATGATGAGCATCAACTAAATTCAAACCAAACAAACATTAATGCAGAAATGAATATTATTCCTGGATTTGCATTGGTTTTACCGGCGTTCAGTTACTGTCAGCTGAAAAAAAAATGCCCAAATTTTGTCCGACTTATACGAGGGTCAAGACTAAATCCTTAGAATTTGGAGCTGAAAAGGGACCCCGACTTATAGTAGGATCGACTATTAGTAAATATTTTTTTCACAGGATATATATCAAAAGAGATGAACCCATATGTATTTCCGCCATTTCATCTTATATTTGCGGTATTTAGACATCTACAACAGTGTAAGGTTTCAAGATGTACCATGATAGTGCCTTCAATTCTGCCGAAACCAACTTGGTTTCCAATCATTTGGTTACATGTTGAAAAGTGGGATACTTTAGCAAGGAAAGGGGATTCTAAGGCTCTTCTGTACCCAACTGTTAAGGGATATGCTTTTGACAAAAAGGGTTTAATTTGGGATTTACTTGTGTTAAGGCTTAGTTTTTAAGAGCTGAATTTTTGTTCTTTTAGGCAAACATCCCTAGAATGTGGCTGCCACCTGAACGCTGTAGTGTATGCAATCATGTGAACGACTATGGTTTTAATTTTTGTCAATCATGTGGTCGAGACAATCTAGGACAACAGACTGGACTAGATAATGGAGACGACTATATTGTAGAAAAGCGTTTAGATTACTTAAATCTTATGATTTCCAGTTCAGAATACATGAGAAAAAAGTCTGCTTTAGAAAAACAATTTGAACTGTTTCTAAAATCTTTGGGAAAATGCGTTCTGACAGCCACTCCTAGGGATGTTACACGATTTTTTGTTCTCAAGGATGGAAAAGGGAAAACCCAGATTCATGATTTGAATTGTAAAAATTTGGGGAAGTTTGGTACTTTCACTTGTAACTGCCCTTGTAGATTAGCTGCTGGCACAGTTAAGTCATATTTAGGACAATTGAAATCAATCTTTGAATTAAGTGGAAGGGGGGATAAATGGTATGATGCCACATCAGGTGGAAATCCTGCTTGTAGTTTGGAGGTGAAAAACTATTTGAAAGCCATTCAGTTAGAACAAGCAAAATCTCATGTGCAGCAAAAACAGGCAAAGCCATTATTTCTAGGGAAGTTGAAATCGGTATGTGAATATTTGGATGCTAGATTACAAAATCCAAGTTTATCTTTAGCTGAGAAGTATGTTGTTTTAAGAGACCAGGCATTCTTTAAATTGCAGTATTTTTCAGGTGATCGTGCTAATGACCTTGGACTTGTCCTTATTCAGGAAGTTAAAAGGTTTCAGGGTAGTTCTGGTATTATATTTTCCCATACTGTTGGGAAAACATTGGGAAATGGTAAGGTTAACGAGTTTTCAGTCTTTAGAATGGAGGATAAGGTTATATGTCCTGTTTTTGCTTTGGAGAGGTATATTGAGGGAGCCAAAAATCTTGGGGTGACGATTGAAACTGGTTATCTTTTTCGTACTTTGAATTTAAATAGAACTATGGTGTTAGATATGCCTGTTTCATCAAGTACAATGAATGATAGGTTGAAAAAATATCTTACAAAGCTTTGTTTGTATGAGGGTGAAACCCCCCATGGGATTCGTGGGGCATGTGCAATAACAATGGCACTATCAGGGATAAACACGCATGACGCCATGGACCATATAGGTTGGTCATCAAATAGCTCTTTCAAGAGATATAGCAGAATTTCAAAGATGGTTGGTAGAGGATCAGTTGGCTCTTTGATGAGGCATATTGTCCAAAATAATAATCCTGTTGAATCTGTATTTGAGTCTCTAAGTACAACAAAAGATTTTTGAGTTAGGCACCATGTTTTTTGGTTTAAATGTATAGTGTTACGATTTTTGTAATCCTTGGGAAATAACTTCAAAAATTTTAACATCAAGAATTTGATAAATTTTAACATTTAGAATCTAATAAGATTTTCTATCTATATACTGAGAGAAGTTTGTTTTTACAGATGTTTGCTGGTGATTGTTTCCTTAATATTTTCAAGGTCCTTTGTTCATGTACTAAATTTCTACTTTCTTTTATGTTTATTTCAAAGGTTAATATTTTGCAACATTAATATGATTTTTTCAATATGTTTTAAATTATTTTTGTGTTGGACCATCTTGAAGAACTTTTATAGTACATGATTTTCCCGGTATATTTTACTTTTCCGGAGCATCTCGGTTATTATGGTTATCTTGAAGCTCTGCAGCAAACATCTTTATTATAAAAGTATAATGGAAAAGTTTTGATAATAAAATATTTCATTCTAGGGTGTGATACTTTGATGATTTTATTTATCTCCCTTAGATTATAGTCTGTACATGTTAGTTTATTTTTTGTGATACAATAAGAAAACTATGTGTTGGGGACTGAATATCATACTGAAATCTACAATGTATCTTTGATATGAATCTTTATTACATGAATGTTAATATTTCATATGCATTTTTGTTTATGCATTTACATGTAGATGTCTACTGTATTTCTTGAATAAATTGGTGTTTTGTTAATGGTTGTTTCTTTTTAATGATTATAAGTTGTGGGTTGAGTATTGGGTAGATTTGAACTTATAATCGTATAGTCATAGACATTCAAGGGGAGATAGAGAGCAAACATGATGTTTAGTGGGAAGTTTTTGTCCATCTTCACCCAATACTAACTATACTTAGTCACATTGAGTGTATTTGCTTAGGATAGTTCAGTATCTTAAGTAAATCTCACGAGATGTGACGAGAACCCTCATTCTGGTCGCAATTCCCGGCAGGCAAGGCGTTTCAGATATTCTAACTAAGCCTTGTTGTAAGATAATGTTACACGGGTATTTGTATGGTTACATTGGAATATAGATGATTTGGATCCAGCAAATATGTTTAAAGTCGGGAGCCTCTAATTCAGTGATTGTCGCTTGTTGCTGTATTTTATTTGTATTTTTGTTAATTGTTTTTGTATATAAATCTGGCCGTTAGTTTCCTGTCTGAATTGTTTTACACTGGATGAACAAAAGCCAGACTAGGTTTTCTTCAACATACACATACAGATACAGGTGTTTTGGTGTGCTTTATAGCTTATTGTGCAGAGTGAGCTAAGGATCAGTGTTGGAAGCTGTACCGTAACTTAAAATTGCTCACATCAACGACATTTGATCTTGGATGGAGGGTGATCTCATTGGCAATCATACCACATTTTCTTATTTCTGATTTGTATTGGCAATTACGTTTCTTAGAATTGAAATGAATTTATTTTTTTAAAAACCACATAGGGAGGAACAGTCATCCAGAATACCAACATTTTGTGCATATTCACAATGCATTCAGGATTTTTCCGAATTTAGTACATGCATATACAGTGTACCGGCAAGTTACATAGCTTAGCAGGAGCTGCCCACTTTGTCGACTTATCTGGGCCATGTCGAAATGTTCCTGGTGTACATGTTATGCAAATTTGCAGACAACGCGATTGAAGACTTTGCTTGTACACGCTTTGCTTTTATACTACAACGTTATTTGGTATGCTTTGGTATTTGGTATTATACATTTTCTTGGTGTGTTTTGTTTTTGTATGATTACGTTACTTGGTAAACTTGATCGTCCTGAATATGCATGAAATATTTGCCACTGGACCTTAAGCAACCAACAATCAATCAATACTTCGACACACACACACACAAACAAAAACAAAAAACAACAGAAAGTAGTAAGCATACATTCATTTTTGACTAAGTTTTTGTCCATCTTCACCCAATACTAACTATACTTAGTCACATTGAGTGTATTTGCTTAGGATAGTTCAGTATCTCTCCTCGTAATGTTGTAAGATAAAAGGGGGATACTAGAGATATTTGTCCGTGGCCTACTGTTCCATTGACGTATAACCCGCGATTCTCATTCTATTTCACACTTAATTTTCCGTGTATATTGCTGGCTGAAAAAAAAAAATCTGATATCACTAATGTGACATATTGTTAGGACACCTGTCTATTGTTGAAGATTACATGTCTCCCTCAAGATGTCTTTTTGTAATTTCTGTAGTTTGGTTGCTATCGCATTGACGTATACCTCACACCTACTTTTATTCATGCAGCGCTTACTTTTCCGTGATTACTGGTGGCTGAAATTGTTTTTATAAATCTGATAGGATATAAGCACTGCCAGTTTTTCTTTGTATCAAAAATAATTGATTGATTTGATTTGATTGTTTTCTGCTTAACGTCCAGTGGCAAATATTCCATGCATATTAAAGCCTTTGTGTCAGCAAATCAAATCGTAAAGATACTGCATATGTGTCTAGTCTACTTAAACATTTGCTTTTTTTTGTATTTTCTGAGTAAAGAAAGAAAGAATTCTACAGAAACGCAGACAAACACTTGCTTCAAATGTGTTTTCTGGAATAAAACCACTCTGCAATTTTAAGCATGTATAGCTATTTTGTCTTAAGTTCAAATAAAGTGGCAGTCATTTCATAGCAAAACTATACCTTATCCTGACTTGAATGTGCTGATGAAAAACTCAACATATCTTTAATTGCACAATAGAGCGCACTGGTTCCCGAAAGTTGGGTAGTATAAAAACAGGTACTTCTGATCTGAGCAACTGTGCAAATATGGCCCCTATCATAATTTCATATTTTTTTTTTTTATTATTCACGAGAAACTTTCGTCAATGGTTCTACAGTGATCCCAAGACGTGGAGCCTTTCGTTTGATACCAATTAGTTATCCATTTTCTTTTACTTTTGGAAAAAGTTACAACTATGCGTAGGAACTATTTTGTTTAACATATGTACTACTTTCTTGTATGTTCTTTGTGACCGGGCCCGAATTATATACCCTCTGGGTGTCATGCGAAAAATAAAGGAAGTAACGCACACACAGTTTTGGAAAATTAGCGCAGCTCTATGCAAGTCATAATAATAATTGTCCAGAGACATATAGAAATCAAAGTACTGAAGTACTGAACATCGGATGACCGCAAGTTCTTGTGGATGGTCACAAGCACTTGTTTCAGAAAAAAAAATCACATCTCTATACTTGAAAGTGAGGTTAAGATACATAGATATATATTTTTTCTGAGACAAGTTCGTGCGTGGATGATGAATAAATGACAGGGAATTCAACCTCGTCGTAATAACTATTATATTGTAGTGGTACAAATTAGTATACTCTGGTTTGTTGTTATATATTATATTACTATTTGTATATAACAGTTACACGTATATGATATAATTTTCATCCATTTGTATATCACTCTATTCTACTAATCTAACAATAGTGCAGTGCAAGTGCATTGTGGAAATTCTTCTGTAATAATTCGAGTTTTTTAATAGATTGGATTTGAGTAGGCATTCATAAAATTATTTTCCCGCAAAACGTTCTTGAGATATTCTTCCGCATGCATTAACACAAATTTTCGGTATTCTTGATTTGTTATTGATATATATATTTCTCACGACAAAACATTTTTATATCATTTATTTATGTTCTTAAAAATTATTTTTATGAATATTTATTTATGATATTGATATATAACAAGCGATAAGGAATGTTATTTCGCGTTCGGTTATCAGTCAAAAACGAAAGTCACGTGGTAGAAATGTCTGTGGCAACAATACACCGGAATGCCCTCACGGTCATCCGATGTAAAAAGCAAAAATTAAACGAAGAGGAAAATGACCAAACAAAAAAAAAACCTCCTTCTTTCGTGATTATATGTTTTTTTTATATCAACAATAGTCAGACTCTTTTTCAAATGATTTTGCGACTCTAGAAAAGCCGTTTTCAATATGCAATTGTCTTTGTTCTGTAATATTCTGTCCGGGTGTAATCACTTTGACTGCTTCTTCGGCAGTGTTAACATTTGATTAATCACTGCAGTTTATATCGATTTTTCAGATCCACTCCGTGTTTTTTTCTCATAAGGGAGCTACCATTTGATTTTTATGGGGGCTAGGATGAAATTTGAAAAAAATAGGCAGGACAGGAGTTTTGGGTAAAAAAAAGGCAGGATGAGATTATTTGCCAAAAAAAAAGGCAGGATGACAATTAAGTTAAATGAAAAAGTCAGGATAAACTAAAAAAAAAGGCAGGACCGAATAGAGTGAAAAATAAAAAGGCAGGACCGAATAGAGGGGAAAATAAAAAGGCAGGACAAAATTTTTCATCCTAGCCCCTCCCCCATAAAAATCAAATGGTAGCTCCCTAAGACGTTTGGCTAAATTGACAATCTCTCTGCATGGTCAACTAAGTGGAGTGTTTCTCCACAGTTCCGTTACATCTGGTACCATACTGACGTCAATTTCGACTTACGACTTCTTTTCAATCACGGAATGGTTTATATGCCAGTGTGACTGTGACTTTGACTGAAAACAGACTTTAGCAGTTTCAATCGTTTACGATGAAATTACGCTGTTTCTTCGTCTGTTGCCGATATTATACTGTGGTATAAAATCTACATCTACTCAGATTGACGGCATAGCACAACACTCTGTAACTCGCTTATTTTACGAAGGCCTGCGCTGAAGAAAGTCCAACGCTAAACTAATTTTTTTTGCTAATATACTTTTATTTACTATAATGCTGTAATAATTTTTAAAAAAATCTACCCCTTGCACGTGAAAAGTGATGTTTATTTGAACAGAGAATCTAAAATGTTTTTTTAAAAAAAAGCGCATTTCATACCGTTCAGTGTTGTGTTGTTGGCTAGCTGTTTTATTGATGTATACCTTGCATCTCCTTTTATTCACATTTTTGTTTTATGTGTCAAAAAATTGTTACCTATTCACTAAACATTGAAAATATTTCGCATTTTATAGCTGATGTTTATCATTTAAGAAATCTGTTTTACGGCACTCCCCTTTTCTGAAAAAAAAACCAAAACAATACAAAAGGCAAACGTAAAACAAAAACCCCAAAAAATGTTTTCGATACATAATACGTATCAAAACAAGCTACTTCTTTCAGAGGTTAGCATACACGTGTGTGTGTCACACGTCAGCAACGTTGTCGTCAACGATCGGATGTCATATCGTAATGTAAATTCCCCCCCCCCCCCCCTTTTTTCCTATATTTAGAGAATTAAGTGTTAAAAGCAGATCTTTGATTGTCTCTGTTCAATTTATATATATCTTTCATGGAATCGAGACAATTAAGAGCGAGTCATATAGACATTTTTTTTTTGGGGGGGGGGGGGGGGGGGGGGCATATTTGTCGATGGGCTGCTGTTCCATTGACGTATTACCCACATCTGATTCTCCTTCTATTTCACCTTAATTTTCCGTGTATACTACTGGCTGGAAAAAAAATTAGATAGCACTTATGTGACATATTGTTAGGACACCTGTCTATTGTTGAAGATTACATGTCTCTCTCAAGATGTCTTTTTGGTTATTTCTGTAGTTTGGTTGCTGTCTCTTTGACGTATACCTCACATCTCTTTTTATTCATGCAGCCTTTACTTTCCCGTGTGCACTGATGGCTGAAAAAAATGTACCACTTAGCCATAGCAATTACAAAAATTAATTTTGAAATAACCTATGAAATTTGACATATTGGCTAAATCAGGGGATTAACCAACCATATGTTGTAAAATATATTGATTTGATATTTAGCAGCAACCCGTTTAGTTCGATTTTACTATGTGGAAAAGGTTTTAGTTTCTTTTTTTAGTACATTTATGCTTGGACTGTTTAAAGCAATGTTTGAAAATGACATTTTTTACGTACCTATGTACACTAACGACACTCTACATGTACAATGGTTCTTTTTAATGTTTGCAAATAATATTAAGTAACGAACAGTTTATGTGTTCCGCTTACACATGCCACCTTTCTTAACGACATTTCGTGAATGTCCTTTAATTTGACCTTCTGAGTATCGGATTAAGGTCAGCCTGGAATCTGAGGAGATTTTAGTGATTCACCTTATATTCCCCTAGCGGAAGATGTAGATTAATTAGGACTCTATACTACTGGCCCGATGCATTCATGTATGCTAGCAGTCTGTTGCAGTACGCAACCAGCTTTCATTATTCTGTATGTTTTTAAACAGGTTCTGACCAGTTTGTTGAATTTTAAAACAACCACACGTTGAATAAATTTGTCTTGCATAATTTCCCGCCATATCCATTCGGAACATTGACTCGTCATTTTCCATTAAATCATTAGAGAAAACATTCTACCACTTTACCCGTTGATTACAATATCTATCCACTCTCAAAAGTTTTATATAAGAATAAAAAGATGTGTTGTGATTGCCAAATTAAATGACACAACACCCCACCAGGGATTAAATGACATAGAAGTTTAAAACACATTTGGCTATAGTTCATCGTACGGCTGTCATGCAACAACGAGCATTTTAATATGCATGGTTAAACCTCGTATTTTAAAGTTAGATAATTTAACTAATGTAAATAAATATCTTAACCAACGGAGTTGTGTTGTAGAATCTATATTTATCATCTATTTAGTAGCCACAGTGACACAAAATTGTACTAAGGTTGAAATCCCCTCTGGTGGCAAAGTTTAACCTACCAGATCTTGACTGTTACATTTAAAGCCTTGTTTGTTTTGATGTTCTGTATGTTATATAATAAGATGTGGTATGATCGCCTATGAGACAACTGTCCAACAAACACCACATGACAAGGATGTAAACAACTGGATGGTGTCGAGCGTTCGAAGGCTCTGGCCAAATTTATACAAGAAACATGTTTCTAAAGCATTCACAATTTGAAGTCTGCATGCATGCACATTTAGCATTAAATAAAACTGAAACAACGGCTGTGTTTTTTTTTTTTTTTTTTTTTATTAAATTTCCTTTTTTCTTTTTTCCGTTTGAGAATTAATTGAATTCTATGCAGTAATGAATATTAAAGCTAAAGGCAGAAATTACGAACACGCAAAAACAGGTCCATTTATTAAGAACACATTCATGCAATAACCATTAAACAATTTATTTATCATAGTAATACAAATTATCTTGAATGAGTTTGTTCATATATTAACACTCTAGGCTCCCTCACAAACTGATATTAAGGAATTTGTAAACAATATTATCGAATAGAAAGATTAAGCACACGAAATCCGCAATGAATCGGGAATGTACTCGGGCTCTGAAGTTAAAACAGTTCCTGCTCCACTAGTGTGAACCGTCGTGCTGCTAATTTCAAGTAAAAATAAAGCGATCTCGCATTGTAAAATATCAATCAATTAGTAAAGTGGCATGGTGGTGCTAAACGTTATTTCTTCCTATATTGTATCCGTATACCTATATAAAAATAAGGAGATGTGGTATGATTGCCAATGAGACAAAAATCCACCAAAGTTCAAATGAAGTGGATGTAAGCAATTATAGGCAGCCGTACGGCCTTCAACAATGAGAAAAACCCATACCGTATGACAGGCTATAAAAGGCCCCGACATGAAAAAAAAATTAACAATTCAATTGACAAAACTAACGGCCTAGTTAATAAAAAAACAATTTGACAGACATGAACCAACGACAACCACTGAACTACAGGCTCCTGACTTGGGACAGGCACATAAAGAATGTGGTGGGGTTAAACATGTTTGTGAGCGCTCAACCCTCCAATAACCTGGGACAGTGGTGTAACAGTACAACATAAGAACAAACTATAAAAATCAGTTGAAAAATGCTTAACTCATCAGATGTATACAAATAGAAATACATCTAACAAAAACACAGAGTTGACGTGGACGGGTACTTATACATCCCCACAACATATTATTATTTGAATGCATTTATTTGAATGTATTATATATAATGGATATTAGCAGATGGTTGGTATAATGGCAATAGATGCTGTAAAATCATATCCCATCATTAAATTTGTGTACGACATAAAATAATTCCTCATTGTCAGTATTTTCAAAAAGACACTACTGCATGTACATGTATATGAAATCAAATCCAATCAAATGTCTTTATTACTAATTAAAGGGCCCATCAAGAGTATTATTAATCAATACACTGAATCACAAAGTTAAGGTAAGGCAATATCCACACAAACAACACATGCAATCTAACATACATACTGATTATTAATACTAGTAATTAGTAAATGAGTAAATACAAAATATAGAACCATGATTAAAATCTTATATGCATGAAGGGAGAGAGCCAGTAAAAAGAGGGCTAACTCTATTTGTTCACCTTAACTTGTGCCTTTTCCCCCTCCGTCTTACTGAACTTTTTTTTATTTAGATACAGACTAAAAACTGTATTGAAATCCAAATCTTTATTTGTCATGATTCAGATAAAAAGATATATATTTACATCCCAGCTCCTTTGTTCTACCAGGGGTTAGCTGAGCCGGACCACCCCTACCAGATCACCCTAGCAGCCTAGCCGAGTTTCTTTGTTCTGCGTGCTTTCCTTTGTTCTGTGACATTTTGGCGGAAATGTCAAATCCACAATAAAACTCAAGACCTTTAGAATATAGACACATGATTCACACCCCTACATCAGGACGACTGGATATAAACTCTCTGTTAATTTAACATATTTAAACATTGTGTCCGGGGCTCATAAATGGTATATACTATATAGTAATATATAAAGTATAGTATAATGATTGTGTGGCGTTCTAAACTAGATGTTATGAAGCGTAAATGGTTTTTTATATAATCTAGAACAGCTGGGATGTAAAATAGTTATCCCATTCGGAATTTGTGTGTCAGTGTAAGATAATCCTCCGGCCGCCGGCCATCGGGATGATCTTACAATGACATACTGCGTCCTCATGGGATAACTATTACAGAGAGCACTCTAAAACAAAATGCAGTTCAAGCTATGTGAACAGTGTTGATAGAGCATTCCACATCTGGGCAGAAGCTCAAGTTTTCCTGAGATTGTATTTAGTTTTCGTTCATATCTCCCAGTTTCTATTCTCAAGCTGTGGTTACTCAGCCTAAATTTTGTTAAAGTGTGTATATATATTGCTTGCTGAGTGTTAGTTCTTAAGAAATTGAAGATCATTAGGTTAGAATTGTCAATGTGTTTTAGATCTACTAAGGTATTTACTAATCCAGACTCAGTGATCAGGCAGGATAAATTCGTCATACTTGTCACAAAAATGTTTACAGAATTATGTTTTGCTTCTTGATATCACAGGGGTTTATCCATTCGTGACGCTTTCTGAAAATAAATGAAGTAAATAGATAAATTTCACCCTTTAATTATCTTAAAGCTTTGAATTTGGTTATTAAGTTTATTAAGTATCATTTTAATATTTATTAAGCTTGAAGTATTTAAAAGTAATGTTAACTTAGAAAAGGCATGGAGATAAGTGTCGTTTTTTTAAGTAATTTTGTGTTTAGCTTAACATCCCTTTTTTTGGAAATTTTTTCAAGCGTTTGTATCTTAATTTTTTGCACGTAGCCTTTTATATCAAAATTTACCAGCCGATTACAAAAAATATGTATCATATTATATCAAATCCATATACAAGTTTTGTGTTTTATTTGGAGCCCATATCATGCACAAAACGACAATATCATGCAATAGCAAATGCAAAAATGAACATATTGAATAAAAACAATAAGGAGATTTGGTATCAGTGGAATATATTTAGGTCCTTCAACTTGTTTATAGACACCAAACTAATTGCGGTGAACAGAAATTCGGACGATACATTTTGAATTCAATTTGCATCAAACTTCTATCATATACCGTTTAATGCCGATTTGAGTCTTATTTACAAATAAATATTTGTTTTAATCATAACAGAATAGTGTATAGTATACCGTTATTGCGGGGGAAATATGACTATTTTCAATAACTGTGCAGTGTGTTTTAGAAGAATATTATCAAAATAATAATCCTAACATTTTGTTTAAATGATGGAACATAAATAAATGTAAAAAAAATAGCAGACTAGCAAAAGGGTACGATTTGCACCTATATTTGCCTAAAATCGTAGAATTGGCAACAACAATAAATCATCTCATCACATAAGTTCTATAAGAAAACAAACTTGATGGTGTTCTTCTTCTTCTTGGGTTGGGTTTGGGGGGGGGGGGGGGGTCTCACTTCTTGAGTAGTATACTTTACTACTTTAAATATTTCGATAATTCTTTCAATGATCCCAGTGGTGCAGTGGTAGGCGGAACCAACGTACAGCAAAATGATCGCGTGTTCGAATCTAATAGTCGGAGGAGAAAACACAAACATATCAAATGAAACTTAACTGAACTTCAATTTTAAAAAGAAAAACAAATACAATCATGCAACAGTCAGATACAGAAATATGTATATTTGTTTTAATATAACATGTAACATGAATTGTATACTCTGCCTACTCTAAATAAAGCTTATTTATTACTATATTTTTAAAAATTGCCACTGACAAAAGAGGAACAGTCGCGATCAGTGCCTTACTTTTAACTTAATGGATATAATTTTACCTAACCTTTTTTTTTTAGATAAGGAATTATTTTTACAGCTTGTGGAACACAAACAAAAATACATCGAAGTAAAAACTGGAAAATAGTTTGTTTCAAACTACAAGTTAGTCGTGTCGTACCCTTTGAAAACCAATTTCCAAGATATAAACATTATTGGGAAATGAAATTCATATTTAGATAGCGAAAGAATAATATATCATAGCTTCAAAACGAGTTTATATGAACGTCAAAATTATTTTATGAATGTTTGATGGACCGTTTTCTGTTTGATAGTCAGTATGTTTATATCCATATCCGACATAGTATCGTGATCAAATATTTCTTTACTAGTCTTCTACCTTTTTTTTAATACAAATTTTGATAACTTTTATCATATAGTATATGTACATACCTTTACACCTAACATGCATTTCAAACAACAAGTTTTATTTTCTGTAATAACATATCCTTGACGTGAGTATAAATTCAGTGCTCGATTTGTTGATACAACCCATAGATACATAGCCTGAAATTGATAAAAAAAAAATGAAAGTATTAGCATCGGACACCGCGATAGAATCGAAATTTTTTTTTCGCGCAAAGCGAGAACATTCTTTTTTTAAAGTATTTTGACGCTATCAATCAAATATTTTTTTTTCAAAATTTAACACTATGAGGCATGGGGAAAATCTGGATTCAGGATATTTTATTTTTGTCATCGGCTTGACCACAATATTTGTTTTCATCAAATTTGGGATCAGAATATTTTTTAAGGAAAAAACCAAACACCCCCCCCCCCCCCTTTCCCCCGTGAAGTTTAAAACGGTCGTTCCCTTACGTTACACCATCACACCAAGGCCCTCGTCAGTCTCTCATATGTATATAAATTCACAATAGCACTCAACTGCATGATGTGTGTACGTTTGTGCTTCTAACAATATCATTGTTTTATTCGAAACCGATGACCAGATTATGAATGCCTGAAGTTCTTTGTCATAATTCAGAACAAACATGTCTCGAGTTGGATCGATGTGCCATGTAGCTTGACCGAGGAATATCAAATTGTGTTAATTAGAAAGGTATTTGTATTTTTTGTTATAACAGTTTGTCCAGATGTCGTCTTTTTCTTTTGTTACTGGTACTAAATTAAACTGAACTTTTTTCTAGTTATTTTCATTTTGAATACTGCTCAGTCAAAAAATAAACAGGCTATAATGTATTAAAAGCTAGCATAGCACCAATCATCATAGTTTTATGTCTAGAACTAGATTTTTTTGCTCCCCTGATTTCAACAGGCCAAGCGAGCTATTATCTTCACTTGGTGTACGTCGTTCGTCGTCATCTTCCGTCGTTCGTTAACTTTTACAAAAAATATTCTTTTCTGAAAGTACTGAGCCAATTGAAACCAAATTGGCCACAATCAGTATTGCGGTACATGTATCTCGTTTAAATTATGTGTCTGATGATCCCACCTGCCAACCAACATGGTCAACATGGCTAAAAATAGAACATAATGTGTTAAAATTTCTCTGTTATCTTAAAAAAAATCTGATAAGGCAAACACGTTTAAAATTAATGTTTATCTACAAATTGTTTATTTACATCCTTATACTTTTATAGGAGTGATTTCTCCCAAATGAAAATATTTTCCATTTTCTTTTTACGCTTTTGCCTATTATATTATATAATACTGTGACAAAAATGCAGTTTAAGCATAAGACAATATTTGTAATTCAATGTTTAATTGTAATCCATCATAAAATACACGTTTGAACAATACATATAGTGTGTCTTTCTATGTTGTGATGTTACACTATTGTTTCAGATAAGTGTGAAGGTTTGGTACCATTAAAACGTTTAAACCCGCTGCAGTTGTTTGCACCTGTCCTATGTCAGGAATCTGAGGTTCAGTAGTTGTCGTTTGTTGATGTGGTTCATAAGTGTTTATGGTTTCTCGTTTTTTATATAGATTAGACCGTTGGTTTTCCCGTTTGAATGGTTTTACACTAGTAATTTTTGGGGCCCTTTATAACTTGCTGTGCGGTGTGAGCCAAGCCTCCGTGTTGAAGACCGTACTTTGACCTATAATGGTTTACTTTTATAAATTGTGACTTGGATGGAGAGTTGTCTCATTGGCACTCACACCACATCTTCTTATATCTATTAACGAAAACTTCTTTGAAAATCATCCCTTTATCATTGGTTGCTATGAGACTCGTTGTTGCTAAGGTGCTCTCTTCGAGGTCCGCGCTATAGGTATATAAGAACACTGACACATTGTGCGAGTTCGTTTATTTGTAATTTGGCTGTTGATATTTAAGCATCGGAAAGTAAATACCAACAAACAAAGTAGTAAGAATTGGGAAGTTAGTAAACCAGGAAGTTCAAATTGAAAGCTTGTAGTTTGAAGCAAGCAGTTTAGAAGTCTTTAAAGATAGTTGCAAGTTACCGGGTTGTTCCGAAACTGTAATTATCCACGGGAATGGTCGCAGTCCTTCGAAAAAAGTAAAATCACAAAAATACCGAACTCCGAGGAAAAAACAGTCTCCGGGACAAGTTTGCACTTCCGCTGAGTGCAAAAGTTGTCACCTTAATTTTTGGAGTTAAGTCAAAATGAAGTTGATAACTTGGTTGGTATTGGTTCCCTGATATTTGTCCTAAAAAATTTTGGCTCTAGCACCACTGTTGAAAAAGTTATGCCCCTTTTTTCAACAATTTCCTCAGAGGAAAAGTAGTTTTCCTCAAGGGAAATCAAATTTCCCTAAAGGAAAAAGATTTTTCCTTAAGGGAAATTGTATTTTCCTCAAGGGAAAAAGATTTCCCTTAGGGAATTTGCTGCATTAATATTTCCTTTGAGGAAATTTGCGGCTTTAAATTTTCCTTTGAGGAAATTCTATTTCCTCTGAGGAAATTTGAGGCTTCAAATTTTCCTCTGAGGAAATTTGCAGCTTCAAATTTTCCTTGGAGGAAATACTTTTTCCTGTGAGGAAATTTTGTCAACTGCAATTTCCTTTGAGGAAATATTTAACAAACACTTTTCCTTGAGGGAAAATTCAAAACCACAAATTTCCTCTAAGCAAAACATTGTTCTCCAAATTTCCTCTAAGGAAATTTCTGTACATCAATTTTCCCTGTAGGAAATGCTTTCCCCTATTTTTACTCATTGTAAATTTCTTCACTATACAAACAGTATGAACATAATGTTTACAAGACTTAATAAATGATACCAATGATATTTAAACTTTAATAAATTTTTGACTCAAAATTATCATGACCAACAAAAACAATATAGTGAGTCTGACTGTTTAGGTCAAGGTATTGTACATACTTTATATGACTTTAACTTTGATTTTTAAAATATTTTTTGTAGCAAAGTATTCTGTTTTCTTTGTTTTTGTTTCAATTGTATACATTAATAAGCAACCAATTTGAATGTCATACCATTTGTGGAGTTCTTAAGAATGCGTTCATATTTGCAAATTAAATAATAAAATAAACACTTTTCTTGTAAATTTTAATTTTCCTCTGTTTCAGCTGCTGTGTACAGTTATTCAATTCACTACGTAAAAGTTCAAAACATAAATTATTCCATTCACTAAACAATTTCCTTCAATTCTTAGAGAAAACATTTTTGCAATTTGTTCTTCGAAGATCTTCTTCAGTATATTTGATATGAGGGAGCGATGTAAATGAGTGGATAAAGCTGGTGTTCCTTTCAACAACAAAATACTATTTTTTTCTTCATTTCTCCCTTCTTTCGACGAATATATATAATATGTTGTTGCATTTATACAATTGTGTTTTTCTGCATTTAAGATAGAACTCCATTTTGTTTATAGCCATTATCATGTGATTATGATGAAATTTTCTATTTCTTTTTTGCAGGAAAGCACACATTCCATTTCACATTAATCCAATTAGCGCACCATGTAGATAGATATCAACTTTCAGTTTCCTCTTCAGTATTGACCTATTGATCATGAAAACCAAGATGTCTGATCACCTATAAATACACAAAATAAACAAATAAAATGTTATAAATGGAGAGAGAAACAGCAATAAAAAAGCTTATTTTGTCATGTTTATGAACATTTTAAGAATATTTCCTTTCTTACTTGCATGACTTGTGAGTTCTCTTAATTCCGTGCTTTTTGTCTATGGGTTTTTATATTACCCCGGTAGTTGATTTTGTGCATTTTATCAATCTTTCGAGTTGAGGCAATTGCAACGGTTATTTTACAGTTTGTTCTTTATATGTTGAGCTGTTAAACCACTGTCCAAGGTTAAGGTAGGGTTGAGTGCTCACAAACCTGATTTTTTTATTACATGTATTAGTTTTTATTGATTTTTAACTAGCTGTCAGTAGCTGTGAGTACTAACAGATCTTTGTGTCTTTTCGATTAAGGGAAAGGTATAAATTTCCTGCTTAGTCCGGACTGTTTATTTTTTTGCAGGAAATCTACCGGTATGTCATTTGTTGTCTGGTGAAGAGTTGTCTTATTGGCAATCATGCCACATCTTCTTATTTTTATATAACCTTGCCATATTCTGATTGTGCCTGTCCCAAGTTCGGAGCCTGTAGTTTATTCTGACACTAAAATTTAGTGGTTGTTGTTGTTTCATATCTGTCATATTTATATTTTTTTAATTTGTTTTGTTATAAACTAGACAATTAGTTCTACAGTTGGGATTATTTCAATTTTTCGTCTGAGGGCCTTTTATAGCTGACTACTTTGACAATAGGGTATGGACTTTCTCATTATTGAAAGCCGTCACTGGCCTATAATTGCTTTCTTAGAGCCATGATCAATAGTTTTCATATTTAATATAAAACATCTTTTTATTTTTATAATAATCATGATAATCATCTTTCAAGGGCAATAACTTTTATTAAAGTGGCCTTATGAGTCTTATCGAGCATCACTGATGAGTGTTTTGTAGACGCGTCTGGCGTAAATACAAAATTTAATCCTGGTATCTATGATGAGTTTACTTACCATTTAGGTTTTGTTGACTTCTGCAAATTTTAAATTGCCTATCATTTCTGCTGTTTATAATTTCTCTGTATCTTCTATAGTTCTTGTCCTACACATAAAAAGAGTAAAAATTATTATTTAATGACATCTTGCATCAATAATTATTTTGCTGTTTAATGTATATATCAATACGTGTTTAATAAAAAGCTGTACCATGAGTGCTTGATAAGCTTGTTGCCCTTTTAGCTTGGGTTTATGCTTTAAATGAATTTTAATGATCAACTACATTATAGAAAAACTGTGAGCACTGCGCAACTAAGACCCCACCCCCTACAAAAAACAAAACTACGGGCTCTAAAGAGCCTGCGTCGCTCACCTGACTCTATTTGGGTTTTTGAAATCATATAAAAAAGATAAAATCATAACAGATACTTTAATAATGATTGAGGCCATATTTGGTTTAATTTTGTCCTAATCCGCTGGCGGCCGTCTTGGATGATGGATCAGCTACAGCGTAACAACACTTGGTCAACACCTCATAAGGAACATTC